CATTCTCTCTCTCTCTCTCTCTCTCTCTCAAATAAATAAAAATAAAAAAAATAAATAAATAAAAATAAACATAATGCAAAAACACAAATAAACATCTGAAAATATGTGGATATAAGACAGATGAAAAAGGCCACTGCCCATGTAGTTCAGTCACCTGATCTTATCTCCAAGAAGTTTGTATTCACCTTCCTATAGTCTCACACTTGCCTAACTTTCCCAAATGCCAGAGTATCTAGGAATGTGACACCCAACTGGTTTATCTTTTATCAAAGTGACTTTAATCTGCATTACTAGAACCACAGCATTCTAACCTTTAAACTGAAAAATGCTCGATTCAATCCAAAAACCCAGCAACTTAACAGAAAGGGAGACATCCAATAAAATTATTCCATTATAGTTACTGTACCTAACATCATTACTAAAGGTCATTTCAGAGTGGCTACAAAATGGCCTGAAAATTTAGAGAAAAAACAAATGATATAAATGTCAAAACATGGGGGCTGGGGAGATAGCTCAGAGGCATAAGCACCGACCTGGCAAGCACCAGGGACCTGAGGTCGATGCCCCATCCTACGAGGCTGATCCCCAGCCCCAGAAGGACAGTGGCATGCCTGTTATCCCAGTATTTGGGAGGTTGAAACAGGAAGATTGCTGCAAGTTTGAGACCAGCCTGGGTCTACAAAAGTGAGCAAAAGGCCAGCCCAAACTACATAGCGAGACCCTGTCTTTAAAAAAAAAAAAAAAAAAAATTTAAAAAAAAAAAAAAAAAAAATTAAGACATGGTAACAGTGGAGTAACAATGGCTTAGTTGCATACTGTTATCTTTAAAGTAGTTGCTCAGATGGTTTGAAATTTTTTTTTTTTTTTTGCCAGCTCAGCCAACCCTGAGGGTAGGGCTGGAGCAGCATGTGGTACCTGGAAATGAACCACAGTCCCCTGCACCTGCCTAAGCAGGCGTTTTGAGACTGCTGCGCGATCACTGGCCCATGGTCTGAAGTTTTAACAGCACCTATTTTATACAAGATTTTCTCTATATTATGTATCAGACATACTAGAAAAGTCATTTCAACTAAAGATATGAAGTGGGCCGGGGGGATGGCTCAATGGAATAAGCGCTTCCCTGGCAAGCATGACAGCCTGAGTTCAATCCCCGGTTCCACAAAAAAAAAAAAAAAAAAAAAAAAAAAAAAAGATGTGAAGTAGTGGAAACACACTTTTATAAAAATGCAGTATTAAAATCTGAGAAGTCAGGGCTCTTTTAAATTCTAGGGCTTAACAAACTTTATACCTTGCATCACATTCAACCCTGAAGGGAAAAATACCCATTTTCAAAGTACACTACTCATCTTTTTAAAGTAGCACTGAGCAAGGTGTGGCAGCTCATGCCTATAACCCCAGCGTTCAGCATCCTGAGGCTAGAGTTCAAAGTGAGCCTGATTTAGTGAGACCATCTCAAAAAGCTGAAAACAAAGTGGCACTGCACAGCCACACTGGGAATTGGAAGATATTTTGATGTACTATTTGACTTAGTGTTGTTTGAGTGTAGGCTACACCACTGTCATTTCAATTCAAATGGGGAGAGATATGGTGACATAAAGGGGCACAATGGAGGATGCAGGAGTCAGTTCTAATAGTCTGCAAATCCACTCCAGCTGTTCCTGTTCCATACTGTCCGTCGAGCTGGCCCAGTCCCTTTCACTCAGTGTGTCACCAAAGGCAGCTTCAAGGCTCAATGGCAAGAGACCACCTATAACCTCTTCACCTTCTGCTGCCTCTTTCTGCTTCCACTGACCGCCATGGCCATCTGCTATAGCCGAATTGTCCTCAGTGTGTCTGGTCCCCAGCCCAGCAAGAGGAGCCGTGGTGAGAATCTAATCCCCAGGCTGTCAGCCTTATCCCCATGACTGCTGCTTCTAGCATCATTCATCAGTCTCATAGCTGTCAGGCACTAAGCCGAAGTGGAATGTGAGCCACAGATCACGACACTGAATGCCTTCAGCTCTAAATTATCTAGCTAGAATGAGTAAACTGGGCAAGGATTAGTGAGAAACGTGATCATATTGTCCTTTATTCTCAAATACCATCAAGTCTTAGACCTGGTGACAACCTAGTACAACATTTTAATCAAAACCTCTTCTAACATGTCTCATGCCAATGGGGAGGGGATTATGTAGTCCTAGGTTGGGAACAAGGGTCTGCAGCACTCCTTGTAGGTGGGGAGCTCCTCGCTGCTTCTGCTACTCCATCAAGTCACCCTATACTTAGTTCAATAGCTGAGTAGCTCTAAATTCAGATGTATTTTCTAAATTCTCAGCCCCTGCCGGTGAATTTAACCTCCGCCGCTCCTTAGACACTCGGCCCCGAGTCCGTCTTCGGGCCATGCGACTGGCCCTCCTTATCTTGCTGACCTTCGTGCTCTGCTGGACACCGTACTACCTACTAGGTCTGTGGTACTGGTTCTCCCCCACCATGCTAAGTGAAGTGCCTCCCAGCCTCAGCCACATCCTTTTCCTCTTTGGCCTCCTCAATGCGCCTCTGGATCCTCTACTCTATGGGGCTTACACCCTTGGCTGCCGAAGAGGACACCAAGAACCTAGTCTAGATGGCTCTAGTCAAGGAGGGCCTTGGAGGATGTCCGGACAGGACACTCAAGCCCCTAGGCAGCTGGGAATAACAACGAAAGTATCATCTAGAGAAGGAGAACAAAGAGAGACATTCCTATAACATCCACTTACAAAACACTATGACTATTCAGACTATTCTGTAATACCCTATGAATATAACATTGCTTTTTTAATTATCAAAAAGAAATACTAGGGGCCAGGGAGATGGCTCAGTAGAATAAGCACTTGCCTGGCAAATGCAAGGGTCTGAGTTCAATCCCCAGTTCTGCAAAAAAAAAAGGAATACTAGCCAGGTGTGGTAGCATGTGCCTGTAATCCCAGTATTCAGAAGACTAAGGCAGGACCACTGAATTCAAGGCCAGTCTGAACAATATATCAAAACCCTGTCTCAAAAAAAAGGAAAAAAAAAAAAAAAAAAATACTGTGCACAATCTACTTTTAACCCCGAGGCCTGGACTATGTCTAACACAAAAACTCAGAATGTAGTTCCTGGCAGAAATACCTTCACAAAGACCCATACGGCCTTACCATAAATAAGTATTTTGGAGCTATTTTTGTATTTAGTGCAGGGTGTGCAGGGTCTACAGAGCCTCACTACACAAATCTGACCCATAGTGATCTTCCTGTTTTCAGCTTCCCAAGCCCTAGGATCACAGGTGTGCTCTACCAGTCTCAAGTGCTGTCTCAGCACGCCTCGGGGCCAGGGCCCGCATAACACACTGGGGACTGAACCCTAGTCCCTGCATCTGCTTAAGCAGGTGCTTTAATCTGCTGAGCTATCTGGCCAGACCTTCAGAGCTTTTAATGTTAGAATAAGAAAGTAATTTGATATGTAGAAAACAAAAGTGGAACATTTATTAATAACTCAAAGAAACACCACACAAGTAGGGGTAAGAGATTAAATACAAACAGAGTTTCACCCCAGCTATACTTCTCCAAGGCTGTATGCCCAAATGGAATCTTGGAGAGACCACCTGGATAACAGAGAAACTGTCAGCGACGCCTTCGGTCTGGACTCCTGCTGCGTCTTCGGCCACCTCTGGGGAAAAAGTAGAGGGAGTCGCTCCATCAGAGGGATGCAACACAATGTCCTTGCTCTGCTTTACTCACACTCCCTTCACCAACATGGTGTCACCCTCTCCACTTTACCTTCTCTTGCCCTTGGGTGGACCTCGAACAAAACACCAGTCCACACTGATTGGCTGTCCCATCAAATCCTGGCCATTAAGTCCCTCCATAGCAGCCTGGGCCTCTTTGTATGTTTCATACTCAACTAGAGTATACCCCTGGGGCAAATAAAGATAGACATCAAAATCCTCCCATGGCACCAAGCATCCAGCAGCCCCAAACCTAAAAGCATAAACAGCAAAACCTACAAACTTTACAAAATGAATATACATCAATCATATATCCCTGTTGTATGTACAATGTGTCTGTTTTGTTTGTCTCTTTCCTGTGTCTAACAAAATCAGTTTTCAATGTCATCTATTTCAACTTTGTTCCTAACCAATCATGGCAAACATGACAATCACCAATGAATGCTGTGTAAGGATTATGGGTAAGGAAGGCAACTGTTACTTCAAATACCTTTAAGTATCCTGTACGCCTGTCCAGGTTTAAATGGATGTTTTTTATTTCCCCATATTCTGCAAATTTGTCATGGATGTCTTCTTCAGTGGCTTCCTCATGAACTCCAGTGACAAAGAGAATCCAGCCTTCGACAGCTGTTGGGGAAGGGAGGGTAGCTAAATGAGCACATGAGAAAAACTTCAAGCAGGACACAAGTGCAGTGTGTGTAGGCTCCAGGATGACTATCTCTGATCCCATTCCTCCTGGACTAAATTTGATTGGGCTTGTAATTTACTAGTATCTGTCTATAGACACAGAGCCCCAAAGATTATATTTCACTCACAGCGTTGTGGTCCGGGTTCGTCACCATCCTGCTCCACGCTGTCATAATCCTCACGCATCCGTGCCCGGGATCCCTCTTCTATGAGGAACACAAACCAGATCAAAAAACACTCCTTTTTTTTTTTTTTCCACCGTTTCCCATAAATTGTGAGGGGACTCCAAAATTCATAGCTCCCTCCCCAGTGGACCATTCTCCCCTACTATCTCCACACTCACCAGAGCCAAAGCCACGGCCCTTCCGCTTCTTTGCCTTTTCTTTCAATTTGTGGATGCTCTCTAGAACCCCGAAAGAAAAAAGGACAAGTAACAAACACGAGTTGTATTTTCCCTGTTTGTATGATACTGAGGCTTGAACCCAGGTGCACCCTACCTCTGAGCTACATTATATCCCAGTCTTTTTTATGTTTGGACAAGGTCTTGCTGGCCTCAATTTTTTATTTTCCTGCCTCAGCTTTCTGAATTACAGGTGTGCACCACCACGCCCTGATCAAAAACACTTTTTGTTTTTTCCATTGCTGGGGTTTAGACGCTTGACCTTCAAAGTGAGCTACCCCCCCCTTGCCACCCGCCTTTTTTTTTTTAAACGGGTCTAGCTAAATAGCTCAGCCTGGGCTTGAACTTGAGGTACTCCAGCCTCGGCCTCCCAGTGTGCGGGTTACAGGCTGTGCCACCACGCCAGGCTCTGAAAGCCATATTTGACAATTGCCTCTTTCCCAAAACACTATCTGAAAACGTAGCCTTGGCTTTCGGGCTCAGCCCTTCCCGGCCCCGCCCCTAGCCCGTCCACAGGGGGCGGAGTCTCTAACAGAACCCAGTTCCACGGCTCCCATCCACCCGTCCCAGGAAATTTTTCCTATTACGCTATTCTCTCGCACCTTCCCCGCTTCCCGTAGCCGCCTGCACTGTCCTCACCGTCCCCATCCTCATCCATGGCGAAATCCTCGCCCCCGGCCTCGTGAAGATCCAGCACGTCCGCCATCTTGCCTGCCTACGAGCTCTTGTCCGAGCCGCGGAGAGACTAGCGCCTGGAGAAACCGTCGCAGAGGGAAAAGGTCGCCAGTGAAACTGGCCAATCAGAGGGTAAGTTTAAGTCCCGCCCTTGGCGCAGGGCAAATACGCATTAGGGCGGGCCTATGTGAGGAAAGACGCCGGAAGTGCTCATGTGGCCATGCTGAGCAGGTCGGGAGCTGCGCGCAGCCGCGCTGGGCGGGCCGAACGCGGGCGGGCGGAGCTTAAGGCCTTGCCTTGGCTGCCTGTGGCAGCCTGAAGAAATACTCGCTGTGAGACCCGGCCTGGTTAGTTCGCTAGACGACTGCTCTCCCTCCTCATTTCAAACTCCAATATGGAAGTTTGTAGTAACCGTGTTTGGACAGGATATCCTGTCTGCATCTTGTACGATGGATAACCACTAAGAAGATAACAATGTACAATTGTATTAATTATTGAAACTGCCCTATTAATCAGTTTTGAAACTGTCTCATTGATACTTGTTTTTCAATTTTTAAAAAATGGTGTTTTTTGTTTTAAATCGCAAAATTGAAAGGGCTTCTGGTACTGTGTCCTGAGGGGGGCAGCTCCACCTACTAAAGAATAGAAGTATTAAAAAAGTTCAGGGTTTGGAAGCTTTCATCTCCAGGACAGGGATGAGGGTTGCCGTCAGCACCACTAACTCATAAAGGCTACTTCTATAACATACTGGAGCACAGAATTTCTCTCCTAAGGAAACGAATGGACCTAGTTCTTTTGAAGTTCAAAGACAAACTTATGCTCACCACTGGGAACTGGAAGTGGAGGAAATCAGCCCTTAAAAGAGTGGTTTTGGGCCAGGGAGATGGCTCAGTGGAATAAGCGCCTCCCTGGCAAGCGCAAGGGCCTGAGTTCAATCCCCGGTTCCACCAAAAAAAAAGTAAAAAAGTGGTTTTTTGGGCCAGCCAAATAGCAGATTAAAGTGTCTTTCTGCTTAGGCAGGCAGGCGCCGGGAGTTCCACCCTTGTGGTGCCGTGCCCTGACAGCCTGGGCCCGTCAAAGGCGCGCTTAAATAATCACGTTATTGACAATTGAAACTGGGTGTGCCTGTAATTCCAGCACTTGGGAGGTTGTAAACAGAAGGATCACTACAGTCCGATCTACGTAGTGGGACCCTGTAGACCTTGTTCTAAATATAAAAATAAAAAGTGGTTTTCTGTTTTTTGAGGATGGTACAGATGTTTCATGTTTTTCAAAACCTATCAGTTGAGGGTCAGGAAGATAGTTCAGTGGAATAAGTGCTTGCCTGGCAAGCGCAAGGTCCTGAGTTTGTTAAAAAAAAAAATCTATGAGTTGAGTCTCCTGGTGTGGTGGGCCACTCCTCTAATGTCAGCACTATCTGTAATCCAACACTTGGCAGGCTGAGGCAGGAGGATTTCCATGAATTCAAGGCTACCTTGGGCTACATAGTTCAAGACCACCCTGAACTACTCTCAAAAAACAGAACAAAAAACACACCTATTAGTTGAGTAACACCCATATTGCCTCCAAATTCTGCAATCATGATGTAAACCTTCAGTGATGGTGTGCTGTGGGCTAATCAAATAGTTGTGATGCCTGTGTATGTCTTAGAAGAAGTTTAGGAAATAAAAGGATAAATAATTACATTATTGACGCTCACAATGACCCTATCATTACACTATGGCAATGATAATTTGATAATTGCTACCATAAAGTGCAGTGACAATACCAAGAAAGTTTCTGGGACTAGGAAGACTTGCCACTTGAACTAGGTCTGAGACTGAATAGTTTTCCAGACAAAGCAAGTATAATGAGACTAGGAGACAATAATTCATTCTCCACCGAAAATAGTTTACATCCCACTACAATCCTTACTGGCTGGCTATGGTGGCGCACACCTGTAATCCCAGCACTAAGGAGGCTGAGGCAGGAGGATCAATACAAGTTCAAGGCCATGCTGGGCTACCAATTGAGTTGAAGTTCAGCCTGGAATATGTAAGGAGATACTATCTCAAAAATAATAAACCAATAATAAATAAAAAGGGAAACCCTTCCTTGACTTTTCGTTGCACTTGGAATAAAATTAAATTCATATAGCCTGCTCTGCCTATGGTACCAAGCCTCTTTAACTACCACTCTCCCTCACCCAGTATGCTCTATACTGTCCCTTTATGGGGTTTCCTGTCTAAGGGCTTTTGTGACCTTGATGTGTTTCCTCCAGGTTTTCATACAACTCGCTTAGTCTCATCCTTTAAGTCTTAATAATGCTGGGCTGGGGAGATGGCTCGGTGGTCTAAGCACCTGCCTGGAAAGCTCAAGGACCGGAATTCAATCCCCAGTAGTGCATGCCATGCTGGCCCCAGAGCTCTGGAGACCACTGAATCCTGTTGTGGCACATGCCTATAACCCCAGTGCTGGGGAGGTTGAGATAGGAGGATCACTACGAGTCCGAGCTGCCCAAGCTGTGTAGTAAGACCCTATACCAAATAAATAAAAGATTTTTTTTTTTAAGTCTTAATACTACTGTCGGGGCTGGGGAGATGGCTCAGTGGAATAAGTGCTTCCCTGGCAGGCAAAAGGGCCTGAGTTCAATCCCTGGTTCCACCAAAAAAAAAGAACCCCCCCCCAATACTACTGGCAATGAAGGGGTCTTCACTACCCTCGTCTCTTTCACTCTGTATTTCCTTCACAGGAACTTAAATCAGAACCTTTAATTACCTTGCTTACTTTCTTTTCTTTTTTTTTTTTAAATTTATTTATTTGTGTGTGTGTGTGTGTGTGTGTGTGTGTGTGGCCAGCTCAGCCCACCAGGGGCCAGGGCTAGCTGGCATGAGGTGCTGGGGGATTGAACCGTGGTCCCTGTGCTTTGTTAAGCTTGTTCTAAGTAGGTGCTTTAGACCACAGAGCCATCTCACCAGCCCATACCTTGCTTACTTTCTAACTTGTTTATTGTGTCCTCCCTCCTCCCCCCATTATAATGTAATCCTTGCTGCAGAGATGCCTTTTTACAGCCATAGCTCCAAAGGTTAGCCAAGTGCCAAGTTCACAGTAGACATTTGGTAAATACCTCAGGCTGGCCTTGAGCTAACATTCTGAGTGAATGACTATCACAATGACTAGAAATGCTGTATGCCTGATGTCTTGTGGGGTTTGTTTGTTTTTTCTTCTCAATGTTCATTTAGTTCACAGTGCATTTGGCTTTCTTTTTTTTTTTCCCATAATTTTATTGATAAACAAATAGCAATGAGACAGTTTCAAATCAAATTGGTAGGACAGTTTCAATAATAACACATTGCTGGCTGGAGAGATGGCTCAGTGGTCTAAAGCACCTACTTAGAACAAGCTTAGCAAAAGCATCAGGGACCGCGGTTCAATCCCCCAGCACCACATGCCA